TATAGGTTTGGCTCCCACTTAGGACACAGGCTTAATCTGAGGACCTAATCCCAAGTGAGGGATATGCAGGAAGCAACCAAACAATCATTGTCTCTCTTGCATGCTTCTTTCTCCCTTTCTCTCTCTCTCTCTCTCTCTCTCTCTCTCTCTCTCTCTCTCTCTCAAATCAATGTAAGCATTTGCTTTTTTTTTTTTAGTGTCCACTGTCTGGAATGGAGTGGGGATCAACCCAGAGAGCAGGTTGGATTATGGGCACAGGCTCCAGAAGAGAGCCCTCCCAGAGTCTGGGACACAGAAATGATTCAGTTAATGGACTAGAATAGGAATGAGAGCCACCAACACTGGTACTTTTAACAGGGCTGCAAAACAAGAATAGTGCTCCATACCTAAGAAAAATGGGGAGACCCCAAAGGAGCCTGGCCAAGGAGCTAACCCATGGGAAGTTCTCGTAGCATTCCCTAGTCACCTATGGAAGCTGGATTCCACCCTGGCCTAACTATCCCGGGTCTAGAGACATCTGAATAAATACCATTCACTTTCTTCTGGTGATGAAGGCAGGCAAGCCCTTAGTTTGAGGGTCTGGAGTGAAACCTGAATGCCCTAGGACTCTAGGCATAGAGACCCACAGCAAGGTCTCCTTGCACTTCTGGGAGAGCCGGTTCAGCTAAGCTCTTGCTGGGGGCAGCCTGCACAAATGCCTGTGTGAAGACCTGCTCAGAAGAGACCTCCAGTGCCCCCTTGTTCACACGTTTCCTCAGCAAACAATGAATCTTCTCTGTGGGCATGTCCCAATGTGCCAGGGCCAGAGAAGTCCACTGTGGCTAGCAGAGTGGAATGCTGGGGTGCTGATACCAGGTCCTGATGCACAGTGTCTGGGAGTGTGGTACTTATGGCAGCCTCCACAGAGGATGAGGACCTTCACATGAGGGTGACCCTGGATCATTTGGGTGAACCCATATGCCATCACCTTGACCCTCTCAGAGAGATGCAGATGAGCATAGATAGAGCAGAAAGAGATGTGAAGACAGAAGCAGAGATGGATGCAACCACAAGCCAATGTTACCATCCACCTCAAGAAACTGCCAGAAGCCAAGATTTGATGCTCCTCCCAGCCTCTGGGGGGTGCCCACCCTGATCACATTTCCATGCCTTTGAGAGTCATATAGGACTATGGCTGGCATGCTATAAGTATGAACATTTATGTCATTTTAATCCCCAAAGACTGAGGCAATCTTTACATTAGTATTGGATTTGGGGTTCTTCAGGGAAACAGAACCAATATGATGGAGAGAGAAAGTGAGGTTGGTTTACATGATTATAGGTACTGGCCAGTGCCAGGATCTGCAGGGTGAGTCAGTCAGCTGGGGGTCCTGCAGAGCCAAGGGTTTCTCATCAACCCAGTACTGGTATTTCCCATATTGACTGTTCAGTGGTAGGTTTTCTGACTAGTTTCTTTGGAGCCCACAATCTTCATTAAGCATACACTTCATATCTGGCCTTGTGTCCCCACTCCTTCAGTTGAATAGTGGCTGCATCTTCCAATTAAAAATTCCATCTCCACTACACCAAGTAAAAAGTATTGGGGGAGCTAAAGCTTACTAGCCCTGTCCTGGGTCTTCAAGCTCCTACAGCCAAAGCTGGTGTGGGATCAGATGCATTGTCATCCCTTCTGTTTAAAGGTGGATGCACCCTCTGCCCATGGTTTGACACAGCACACTCATGTTCTAATATTACTCCATGACCCTTGGGCCAGGCCCTCATATTAAGTCCAGGACCACTTCAAGGGCCCTGCAGGAATATGAGGATCTCCTGATCTGAACATACCTGTTCTGGGATTCTTGAGGCTGAGTAGGAAGTTACTGTATGGTGTCCTCAATATTGGGGGTATGTGGGTACTAAGGATGTTGTAGTGTTCACCGTGGCTTCTGGAAACCTAGAAATCCTCCCACTACTGGCCTGAGGCCATACCTTGAACACCAAGTCCCTCACAGTCCTTATGACACCATAGAGGGTTTGATTGTATCATCATATCATGCCAAGAATGCCAAGGTGTACCATGGCAGCAGCATGGGCGGGGTCCTCCTGAGCCCTCACAGTTCTGAAAAGAATGGGTTGCTCACCTTGACTACTGGAAAATGCTAGGAACTCCTTCCTTTCATTACTTAAGGACACACCCCTCAGAAAGAGGCCTGCACATCTCTGACTTCCTCCTTACACAATTAGTCTAAGGGCCCTGCCTAAGGAATCTTATGGATGATGGCTTGGGGAATCTCTGTGTTACCTCATGGTCTTAGTGTCTATGTTCCCCAGAGCTGTAATTCATGGTTATGCCCTTATTTCCTGGCAGGGCCTTGATCCCCTTCCTCTGGCCACCTAGGTCTCACAGCTGAAAGCTAATGCCCTTGCCTCCTGAGGAGCCATGGAAAGAAAGGTCAGGGAATGCACATGAGGCTCTCCTGCTAGTGCCCATCCAGGGGTGACATCAGGATTCAGGCTCCATGGGGTCTGTCTGTTCAGGGTAAGGTGTGCCCTTCTCACTCAGGATTCTTCCCTTGACTCCTGACAGGCCCCTGGGAGTCCTCTTTCTTTCACCTTAACATCACCCATGTACAGGAAAGCTCTCATGTCCCTGAGAACCCTGGAAATTAGTGAGTGGATTCTCAATTTGACAGCCATTCCATGACCTTTTGCATCTGAGAGCGATGTAAGACACTATCTCTGTGGCTTCCCAGTCCTCATTCATCAGAATCCTCCTCTTGACTCCTGTTTGTCCTCTGAAAAGCCTTTTTAGAAATGCCATATCCTTGAAAATTGTTTTCTAGTGTCCCTATTGTAAACAGAGGATAGGATGGTTTGGTGCCAGGAGTGCTTTGAGATGCAGATGCTGTAGCCAAGCCAGGGAGCAGAGGACAAGTGATGTGCTGTCAGAGAAAACACTAGCCACTTCCTTCCTGTCACTAGACAGACTTAGCCTCTTAGTTAACTTCGCTTCTAAGAGTTTTACTCTCTACAATAGAAGAGTTGAGCCAATTGACTTTGTGGTTCCCTATGCTTTAGTGTTTTACTGATATTTGCCTTATAGATTTTGATATTATCACTGACTACCATCTTTTTCTTTCTTTATTCCTATCTCACATATATTTTGGTTATTTTATTGCTTGTTCCTGGGGATGTGTTTTTCAAATCAATATATTGAGTATGAAGTCCTGCTTTTTGACAGAAGTAGATTTTGAAATCCAGAGCAGGAAAATGAATTAAGTGGCATGTGGTGTTCCACAGACTTGGAGGATTGGCAAAGTATATGCTCTAGAAACCATCAGAGCCATGTTCAAATCCTGCTGTCAGTTTTTAGCAGTGAATTTGAGACTATTCCAAATTCTTTATCTTCAAAATGAGTATGGCAAGTCTTTCACACAGGAATGTGGATATTCACTTGTGATGAATATAAAGCACCTGCAAGGTGTTAGGAAAATTTGGTGCTTTTAACGCAGGGCAGTATAACTAAGGAACTTTAACCCCAGATGATAACCAGCTTTCCACACAGAATTTAATTTCCATGCTCTATTACAGAACATGGAACTGTACAGAAGGAAGAAAACCGAAATGTTGCTAACCAAGTAGAACTAAGTATAATTTCCCCTATAGAGCATTTATTGTTTAATAAGGGTATGGGAATATATTCTCTAGCAAGATGCAACTCAATATTCATTAGTGCCAAGGACCAACAACTTGTCATCCAAACCAGCCATAATTTTATGAATTTCATTGCCACTATAAATAGAACACACCCTTACATTTGCCAAGAGAAAGTCAAACTTTCTACATGAAGTACTGTTTTCAATGGAGTGAGATCTAGCTTTCCAGCCCATGAAAAATGAGATTTTCCAGAGGTACCATAGCATCTCAAATACAGCGATATAACACTTATTTCTAGAAACACTCTAGATATCCTGTGCTCAAAACACCTAGTTTGAGCACTATGTTCTCCTTCCCTGGTGCAAGTGGATTAGACCCCTTCCAGTATGTCTACAGGTGAAGATTTCTCTCAGCTTTCCTCGTATCCCAAAGTAATGCTTCAGATCTGTTTTCCATTCCACACTTAGTTTTTCAAGTCTAAGACCCATTTCCTGAGGGTCTGGCCCCCTTTTTTACAAATCCTCAACTTTATCCAGTCTATCATGAAATCCGACTGAAAATTACCTGCCCCACACCCACAGACCCTGAGGGACTGGATATTCCCAAGGCCCAAATCTGCCTTGCTCACATGATGGGCAACTAATTGCTCTTTTTCTCATCTCTTCTGTTTATTGTCCTTTAATTATTTCTTACATTGGATGACACCATTTGCTTTCTATGACCAATGCTGCTGATAGACTCTAAATTTTAATAGCAGTGGCTATTAGGCTTCTTTTTCAAGCCTTGGCTAGTAATTTTTGACATTTCCAAAGAGCTGATGGACTATTAATGTTGGAGGGAAAAAGAAAAGGCATGAGCAAGAATTCAAATTTATAAGGATTTATTTTCTTTAAAATATTAAAGGAAATATGCAAATCCAGGTATATGTTATTGAATTTTATAATAAAAGAACAAGGAGATTAAAGAACACTAATAATCATCAATTACTTGTGTTTCTCCATTTTACATTTCAAATATTTTCATATGCCCCAGAAAAATAACATTCCTGTGCCTTGCACTGTACGAAAAAGAACATATTGGAGGCTTTTCAATCAGTTGGTAATAAACAAAACTCTTAATATCTCACCTTAGCTTTAATACATGTGACATCCGTGGCATTAATAAACTTAGATTTTGAAGCAAATAAACCTTAATTTGAAGGAGCAACTTTTGAAAATACATACAACCCTAAAATTAGTGATCTGCAGAAGAAAAAGAAACCCAACAACATAAACATTTTGTTCCCTCTAGAGCCCACTACACTACTATTCAGAAGGTTGACTGCTCTACTGAAACTGAAGGTGAAAAGGCTGCCTCAGATCTCCCTAGATGTGGCAGGAGCTGCTGAACTTGGCCTTGCAAGGACCCCGGTGCCTGGTAAAAGAGCCAACCATGGCTGCGGCTCTCAGCCATGCTTTATCTTCATCATCTCTCAAGGCCTCCTCATACAGGATTGGGAAGGCAGTGGGGATCTTGTTGAAGATCCTGGCCAGCACCTCTAGCACTTTCATCTTGCTGATATCAGTGTGGGCCCTTTGGCCCCACAGGAGCACGAAGCGGGGAGGATTGCTTTCGGGAACCTGGCGGCACTCCAGGTACTTTTCCTCGACCAGATACTTGGTGAGGAATTGCCTGGGCTCCCCATAGATGACATGCTTCCTCCCAGGGTGGACCCCAAAGACACTCAGGAACTTCCAGACCTCCTCTTCAGTGGTGATGTTGCCATTCATGAAGATCACGCCCAGGATCACCATCACAATCGGGGTCTTGGGCAAGACCTCATCACTGCTCAGGTCTCCCTCAATTGGGAGGCCCAGCTTGTTGAAAAAGCCATAGGAGTGTTTGTTGGGGTTGACTTCCTTGAGCTCAAGGCCAAAGACCAGCTCCATGCGCTCAGAGGCTCTCCTGAGGACCTCAGAGAAGTGCTTCTTGTACTTCCTGTTGACAAACTTCATCAATGCATTCTGAGTGATGGGCTCCTTCCTTTTCAGCTTCTGCAGCAGGAACTGCACCACCTTGCTCACCTCCCTGCTCAGAGGATCTTTGCGAGCCCTCAGAGCTGAAATTGCTGCCTGGGTGGCATGTGCACTTTCCTCATCTTGGCTCTTGGCAGTGGCATTGGATGTTGGGCATGAGGCGCCTGCCACAGGAGAGCTAGTGGCTGTGTCTCCTTGAGGCTTCTGGGATGGGCCAGATGTAGGGGAGCTTGCAGAAGTATCATCATTGGGAGGAGAAGTGGGGGCCTCATCAACCTCCATTGCTGTGACCTGATCTTCCTTGAGACTCTCAGTCTCACTCGGGGGCTGTTGGCGTTTCTCTCTTCGGAGCTTACTCTTCTTTCCTCGAGGCATGAGGACACTGATCAGGAGAGAGGGCACCCTTGTAATAGGAGAGGAGGTGATGCTGGGACCTGGGGGAGAGAGAGTGAGATGGCATGTGCACCCTAAGCAGGAACATTACACCTGGGCTTTATCCCAGGCCATGTCTGCTAGATCTGAGGGCAGTGCTCCAGGGACACACTGGTCTTAGGTCTGGGCCCTAAGAACCTGTAGAGGAAGTTATAGTGTGCCTTAGTGAGAGCCACAGAATCCTACCTGGGTGTTCTCTGGTGACTACAGGAGATAGCAGGGGTTATATGGGACATTAGTTTGGGAAATGCTCAAAATTCAAATTCAGGATCATCAAGTTAATTGTTGGTCAGACTTGGGCCCCCACTCCCTACCCTTTCTCTGAAGGTGACACTCAAACCTCATTGCCACAAGTTTGTATTGACATGCTGCTTCTGGCAGAGGGCTCTCAGAACTGACACCTCTATGAGACTTCTCTGTGCTGCATTTTAGGTTCCTAAGTCCTCCTTTAGAAACCTCACCTGATCTCCAAGTAGGGCCTCAGAGCCACACTTCCTGGTCCTAGTTTGACCTTCATTAACTATTCAGGGTGGGTCATTTCTCAGTGAATTGTGGTTTTCTCACTTGGCACTGCAAAAGTTAGGGCCCTATGTTTTATGTTTGTGCTGATATTACACTAAGTTCTATAGATGCCCTGGAGCCAGAGGAGGAACTGAGTTTGACAGTTTAAAGCTGCATTTGACTGTTTTCTTCCAAATTCAGGATGCACCCAAGAAATGAAGGTCCCCTTATGAGAGGTGCACCAGAATCGCACATCAATCCGGTTTGCCGCCTAGATGATTTTCTAGCATGACTCCATCTGCTGTATTGTGAATGCTCCTTTCAGGTGAAAGCATTCACCTGCCTAAACCCTGAGCAGGAATAAAGGGGCAATTCTGTTGACAAATACTGGACTCTTTGAAAGACAGGATTTAGGGATTCTGAGGTGTCCTCCACGTTATGGGTTCGCTGGTCACAAAAAATTGCTGTGAGGCTTCCCATTACCTAGACTTCTTACCCCTGCCAGCACAAACCATCAAGACCACCACCTCACTAACTCTCCCTAGGTCTTACCAAGACCTGGACATCCTCCCTCAGACAGTCCTTCCCACCAACACACCACCTCCATCACTCTCCCAGAATCTTCCCAGGACCTGGACATCCTCCCACTTACAGCCCATCCCACCAAGGCCCTGACCTCCCTCACTTTCCCTGAGTCTTCCCAGGACTTAGACATCCTCCCTCTGTCAGCCCCTACCACCTCCCCCACTCTCACTGAGACTTCCCAGGATCTGGACATCCTCCCTCTGTTAGTCCCTCCCACCAAGACCCCCATCTCCCTCACTCTCCCTGAGTCCTCTCAATACCTGGACATCCTCCCTCTGACAGCCCCTCCCACAGAGGCCCCACCTACCTCACTCTCCCTGAGTCTTCCCAGGACCTGGACATCCTCCCTCCGTCAATCCCTCCACCAAGGCCTCCATCTCCCTCATTCTGCCTGAGTCTTCCCAGACCCTGGACATCCTCCCTCTGACAGCACATCCTACCAAGGCCCCCACCTCCCTCATTATCCATGAGTCTTCCCAGGACCTGGACATCCTCCCTGTGTCAGACCCTCCCACATCCCTCACTCTTCCTGAGCCTTCCCAGGACCTGGAAATTCTCCCTCTGACAGCCCTTCCACCAAGGCCACCATCTCCCTCACTCTCCCTGAGTCTTCCCAGGACCTGGACATCCTCCCTCTGATAGCTCCTTTACCTCCCTCACTCTCTCTGAGCCTTCCCAGGCCCTGGACATCCTCCCTCTGACAGCCCATCCCACCAAGGACCCTCCTCCATCACTCTCCCTGATTCCTTCCAGGACCTGGACATCCTCCCTCTGACAGTCCCTTCCACCAAGGCCACCATCTCCCTCACTCTCCCTGAGTCTTCCCAGCACCTAGATATCCTCCCTCTATTAGCACTTTTACCTCCCTCACTCTCTCTGAGCCTTCCCAGGCCATGGACATCCTCCCTCTGACAGCCCAGCCCACCAAGGACCCACCTCCCTCACTCTCCCTGATTCCTCCCAGGACCAGGACATCCTCCCTCTGACAGCCTCTTTACCCAAGGACCCCCAGCTCCCTCACTCTTCCCAGTCTTCCCAGGATCTGGAAACATCCTCCCTCTCACAACCCCTCCCAGCAAAGCCCACCTCCCAAAGTCTCCAAGAATCCTTTCCTAATTCCTCTCAGGTCCTGGACATCCTCCCTCTGACAGCCCCTCCCACCAAGGCCCCACCTCACTCACTCTTCCTGAGCTGTGCCAGGACGTGGACATTGTCCCTCTGTCAGCCCCTACCACCACCCTCACTCTCCCTGTGTCTTCCCAGGACCTGGACATCCTCCCTCTGACAGTCCCTCCCACCAAGGACCCACCTCCCTCACTCTCCCTGAGCCTTCCCAGGACCTGGACATCCTCCCTGTGTCAGGCCCTTTCATACCCCACATCTCCCTGAGCCTCCCTAGGACCTGGACATCCTCCCTCTGACAGCCCATCCCACCAAGGCCCCCACCTACCTCATTCTCCCTGAGCCTTCCCAGGACCTGGAAATCCTACCTCTGACAGTCCCTTCCACCAAGGCCCCCATCGCCCTCACTCTCCCTGAGTCTACTCAGGACCTGGACATCCTCCCTCTGTCAGCCCCTCCCACCAAGACCCCACCTTCCTCACTGTCCCTGAGCCATCCCAGGACCTGGACAACCACCCTCTGACAGGCCCTCTCACAAGGACACCACCTCCCTCACTCTCCCTAAATCCTCCTAGGACCTGGACATCATCCCTCTGACAGCCCATCCCACCATAGGCCCTCCTCCCTCACATTACCTAATTCCTCTCAGGTCCTAGACATCCTTCCTCTGACAGCCCCTCCCACCAAGGCCCCACCTCCCTCACTCTCCCTGAGCTGTTCCAGGACCTGGACATCCTCCCTCTTATAGCCCTTCTCACTAAGGCCCCTACCTCCCTCACTCTACCTGAGTCCTCTCAGAACCTGGACATCCTCCCTCTGACAGCACCTCCCACCAAGGCCCCCACCTCCCTCACTCTACCTGAGTCTTCCCAGTACCTGGACAACTTCCCTCTGACAGCCCCTCCCACCAAAGTCCCACCTCCCTCACTCTCCCTGAGCCTTGCCAGTACCTGGCCATCCTCCCTCTGACAGCCCCTCTCACCAAGACCCCCACCTCCCTCACTCTCCCTGAGTCTTCCCAGGACCTGGACATCCTCCCTCTGACAGCCCCTCCCACCAAGGCTCCACCTCACTCACTCTTCCTGAGCTGTGCCAGGACCTGGACAGACTCCCTCTGTCAGCCCCTCCCACCAAGGCTCCACCTCACTCACTCTTCCTGAGCTGTGCCAGGACCTGGACATCCTCCCTCTGTCAGCCCCTCCCACCAAGGCTCCACCTCACTCACTCTTCCTGAGCTGTGCCAGGACCTGGACATCCTCCCTCTGTCAGCCCCTACCACCTCCCTCACTCTCCCTGAGTCTTCCCAGGACCTGGACATCCTCCCTCTGACAGGCCCTCTCACAAGGACACCACCTCCCTCACTCTCCCTAAATCCTCCTAGAACCTTGACATCCTCCCTCTGACAGCCCATCCCACCATAGGCCCTCCTCCCTCACACTACCTAATTCCTCTCAGGTCCTGGACATCCTCCCTGTGTCAGACCCTCCCACATCCCTCACAATCCCTGAGCCTTCCCAGGACCTGGAAATTCTCCCTCTGACAGCCCTTCCAACAAGGCCAACATCTCCCTCACTCTCCCTGAGTCTTCCCAGCACCTAGACATTCTCCCTCTATTAGCTCTTTTATCTCCCTCACCCTCTCTGAGCCTTCCCAGGCCATGGACATCCTCCCTCTGACAGTCCATCCTACAAGGACCCTCCTCCCTCACTCTCTCTGATTCCTAGCAGGAATAAGACATCCTCCCTCTGACAGCCTCTTTCCCCAAGGCTCCCACCTCCCTCACTCTCCCTGAGTCTTCCCAGGACCTGGACATCCTCCCTCTGATAGCTCCTTTACCACCCTCACTCTCTCTGAGCCTTCCCAGGCCCTGGACATCCTCCCTCTGACAGCCACTCTCACCAAGGCCCCCACCTCCCTCACTCTTCCTAGTCTTCCCAGGATCTGGACATCCTCCCTCTCACAGCCCCTCCCAGAAAAGCCCCACCTCCCAAAGTCTCTGAGAATCCTTTCAGGACATGGACATCCTCCCTGTGAAAGCCCATCCCAGGATGGGCCCTCCTCCCTCACTCTCCTGAAGTCTTCCCAGGACCTGGTCATCCTCCCTCTGACAGTCACTCCCACCAAGGCCACCACCTCTCTCACTCTCCCTGAGTTTTCCCAGGATCTGGATAACTTCCCTCTGACAGCCCCTCCTACCAAGGCCCCAAGACCATCACTCTCCCTGAGCCTTCCCAGGACCTGGATATCCTCCCTGTGTCAGCCCCTCTCATATCCCACATCTCCCTGAGTCTTCTCAGGACCTGAACATCCTCCCTGTGTCAGCCCCTCCCATATCCCACATCTCCCTGAGCCTTCCCAGGACCTGGAAATCTCCCTCTGTCAGCCCCTACCACCTCCCTCACTCTCCCTGAGTCTTCCCAGTTCCTGGACATCCTCCCTCTGACGGCCCATCCCACCAAGGCCCCCACATCCCTCACTCTCCCTGAGTCTTCCCAGGACCTGGACATCCTCCCTCTGACAGCCCATCCCACCAAGGACCCTCCTCCCTCACTCTCCCTGATTCCTTCCAGGACCTGGACATCCTCCCTCTGACAGCCACTCTCACCAAGGCCCCCACCTCCCTCACTCTTCCCAGTCTTCCCAGGATCTGGACATCCTCCCTCTCACAGCCCCTCCCAGCAAAGCCCCACTTCCCAAAGTCTCTGAGAATCCTTTCAGGACCTGGACATCCTCCC